ACTGTGAGCATGTAATCGCTGATAACTTCATCCTGTGATAGTGAATGTGGGTCAGACAGATACACGCGTCTGCTTTATTTCTAACTCACACAGTCCAGATCTAACGGGAGGGGTTTATACGAGAGTTCAAGTTATATTAGACTCATTCAGTTTCCATACAAGTACAGCAATGGCTGTCAAATTTAGAAAAAGGACACAAAATATTGTAAAAATATGACCAATGCAATAAGTCAGTCATATGATGCTTTGAATAAGTCTGGTTACACCACATAAGCAAAAAATAAATAAAATCACATGGTAAATCATAATTGTGACATAAAATGATAAAGTTATGAGACACTAAGTTATAGCCTAATTACACTATTAAAAAGTCATTTATTTTATTTGGACTTATGTCATGTAATAATTATGACAAAGATGAAAATGGGATACTAATTCATAATGATGAAATAAAAAGTCAAAATTAAAAGATAACCAGTCATAGTTGACTAAACATAGTTATATAATTTTAATTGTCATAACTCATAATTATGACCTTCAAGCTCATATTCAGAATTTATCATAATGACTGTCATAATTATGTTTGTCTATTTCAACTTTCTACTTTTTTAATTCCTACTTTTTATGTCATAATTATAATCTACCAAAGCTTTTATTTTTATTCCCCCCAATGTGGCATTCATCTGCTTTTGAGTTCCACAGAAGAAAGTCACGCAGGTTTGAACGACACGAGGGTGTGTGTGTGTGAGTGTGAGTGAGTGAGTGTGTGTGTGTGAGTGAGAGTGTGTGTGTGTGTGTGTGTGAGTGAGTGAGTGAGTGAGTGTGTGTGTGAGTGAGTGAGTGAGTGAGTGTGTGTGTGAGTGAGTGAGTGAGTGAGTGTGTGTGTGAGTGAGTGAGTGAGTGAGTGTGTGTGTGAGTGAGTGAGTGAGTGAGTGTGTGTGTGAGTGAGTGAGTGAGTGAGTGTGTGTGTGAGTGAGTGAGTGAGTGAGTGTGTGTGTGAGTGAGTGAGTGAGTGAGTGTGTGTGTGAGTGAGTGAGTGAGTGAGTGTGTGTGTGAGTGAGTGAGTGAGTGAGTGTGTGTGTGAGTGAGTGAGTGAGTGAGTGTGTGTGTGAGTGAGTGAGTGAGTGAGTGTGTGTGTGAGTGAGTGAGTGAGTGAGTGTGTGTGTGAGTGAGTGAGTGAGTGAGTGTGTGTGTGAGTGAGTGAGTGAGTGAGTGTGTGTGTGAGTGAGTGAGTGAGTGAGTGTGTGTGTGAGTGAGTGAGTGAGTGAGTGTGTGTGTGAGTGAGTGAGTGAGTGAGTGTGTGTGTGAGTGAGTGAGTGAGTGAGTGTGTGTGTGAGTGAGTGAGTGAGTGAGTGTGTGTGTGAGTGAGTGAGTGAGTGAGTGTGTGTGTGAGTGAGTGAGTGAGTGAGTGTGTGTGTGAGTGAGTGAGTGAGTGAGTGTGTGTGTGAGTGAGTGAGTGAGTGAGTGTGTGTGTGAGTGAGTGAGTGAGTGAGTGTGTGTGTGAGTGAGTGAGTGAGTGAGTGTGTGTGTGAGTGAGTGAGTGAGTGAGTGTGTGTGTGAGTGAGTGAGTGAGTGAGTGTGTGTGTGAGTGAGTGAGTGAGTGAGTGTGTGTGTGAGTGAGTGAGTGAGTGAGTGTGTGTGTGAGTGAGTGAGTGAGTGAGTGTGTGTGTGAGTGAGTGAGTGAGTGAGTGTGTGTGTGAGTGAGTGAGTGAGTGAGTGTGTGTGTGAGTGAGTGAGTGAGTGAGTGTGTGTGTGAGTGAGTGAGTGAGTGAGTGTGTGTGTGAGTGAGTGAGTGAGTGAGTGTGTGTGTGAGTGAGTGAGTGAGTGAGTGTGTGTGTGAGTGAGTGAGTGAGTGAGTGTGTGTGTGAGTGAGTGAGTGAGTGAGTGTGTGTGTGAGTGAGTGAGTGAGTGAGTGTGTGTGTGAGTGAGTGAGTGAGTGAGTGTGTGTGTGAGTGAGTGAGTGAGTGAGTGTGTGTGTGAGTGAGTGAGTGAGTGAGTGTGTGTGTGAGTGAGTGAGTGAGTGAGTGTGTGTGTGAGTGAGTGAGTGAGTGAGTGTGTGTGTGAGTGAGTGAGTGAGTGAGTGTGTGTGTGAGTGAGTGAGTGAGTGAGTGTGTGTGTGAGTGAGTGAGTGAGTGAGTGTGTGTGTGAGTGAGTGAGTGAGTGAGTGTGTGTGTGAGTGAGTGAGTGAGTGAGTGTGTGTGTGAGTGAGTGAGTGAGTGAGTGTGTGTGTGAGTGAGTGAGTGAGTGAGTGTGTGTGTGAGTGAGTGAGTGAGTGAGTGTGTGTGTGAGTGAGTGAGTGAGTGAGTGTGTGTGTGAGTGAGTGAGTGAGTGAGTGTGTGTGTGAGTGAGTGAGTGAGTGAGTGTGTGTGTGAGTGAGTGAGTGAGTGAGTGTGTGTGTGAGTGAGTGAGTGAGTGAGTGTGTGTGTGAGTGAGTGAGTGAGTGAGTGTGTGTGTGAGTGAGTGAGTGAGTGAGTGTGTGTGTGAGTGAGTGAGTGAGTGAGTGTGTGTGTGAGTGAGTGAGTGAGTGAGTGTGTGTGTGAGTGAGTGAGTGAGTGAGTGTGTGTGTGAGTGAGTGAGTGAGTGAGTGTGTGTGTGAGTGAGTGAGTGAGTGAGTGTGTGTGTGAGTGAGTGAGTGAGTGAGTGTGTGTGTGAGTGAGTGAGTGAGTGAGTGTGTGTGTGAGTGAGTGAGTGAGTGAGTGTGTGTGTGAGTGAGTGAGTGAGTGAGTGTGTGTGTGAGTGAGTGAGTGAGTGAGTGTGTGTGTGAGTGAGTGAGTGAGTGAGTGTGTGTGTGAGTGAGTGAGTGAGTGAGTGTGTGTGTGAGTGAGTGAGTGAGTGAGTGTGTGTGTGAGTGAGTGAGTGAGTGAGTGTGTGTGTGAGTGAGTGAGTGAGTGAGTGTGTGTGTGAGTGAGTGAGTGAGTGAGTGTGTGTGTGAGTGAGTGAGTGAGTGAGTGTGTGTGTGAGTGAGTGAGTGAGTGAGTGTGTGTGTGAGTGAGTGAGTGAGTGAGTGTGTGTGTGAGTGAGTGAGTGAGTGAGTGTGTGTGTGAGTGAGTGAGTGAGTGAGTGTGTGTGTGAGTGAGTGAGTGAGTGAGTGTGTGTGTGAGTGAGTGAGTGAGTGAGTGTGTGTGTGAGTGAGTGAGTGAGTGAGTGTGTGTGTGAGTGAGTGAGTGAGTGAGTGTGTGTGTGAGTGAGTGAGTGAGTGAGTGTGTGTGTGAGTGAGTGAGTGAGTGAGTGTGTGTGTGAGTGAGTGAGTGAGTGAGTGTGTGTGTGAGTGAGTGAGTGAGTGAGTGTGTGTGTGAGTGAGTGAGTGAGTGAGTGTGTGTGTGAGTGAGTGAGTGAGTGAGTGTGTGTGTGAGTGAGTGAGTGAGTGAGTGTGTGTGTGAGTGAGTGAGTGAGTGAGTGTGTGTGTGAGTGAGTGAGTGAGTGAGTGTGTGTGTGAGTGAGTGAGTGAGTGAGTGTGTGTGTGAGTGAGTGAGTGAGTGAGTGTGTGTGTGAGTGAGTGAGTGAGTGAGTGTGTGTGTGAGTGAGTGAGTGAGTGAGTGTGTGTGTGAGTGAGTGAGTGAGTGAGTGTGTGTGTGAGTGAGTGAGTGAGTGAGTGTGTGTGTGAGTGAGTGAGTGAGTGAGTGTGTGTGTGAGTGAGTGAGTGAGTGAGTGTGTGTGTGAGTGAGTGAGTGAGTGAGTGTGTGTGTGAGTGAGTGAGTGAGTGAGTGTGTGTGTGAGTGAGTGAGTGAGTGAGTGTGTGTGTGAGTGAGTGAGTGAGTGAGTGTGTGTGTGAGTGAGTGAGTGAGTGAGTGTGTGTGTGAGTGAGTGAGTGAGTGAGTGTGTGTGTGAGTGAGTGAGTGAGTGAGTGTGTGTGTGTGAGTGAGTGAGTGTGTGTGTGTGAGTGAGTGTGTGTGTGTGAGTGTGTGTGTGAGTGTGTATGTGTGACACAATGTTCATCTTCCGTCTGTTAAAGCGGGTAAACTTCTCCACCCAGATCCCGAGGAGCGCCAGACAAACCTGCTCAACCTGGTTAATTACGGACTGCAATGTATCATTTAATAACGAATGTTCAGAGGTGTTTGGGTTTGACTCGTCTTAATTATATCTGATCTGAATGATGCCATATGAATGAATTATTCTGAATAAAAGAACACAACCCTGCATTACCGAGGCGTCCTCCTACAGATCATCCTAATAACACTGGAATAAAACTCATGTTACACAGCAGTATCCTGACGGTGGAAATGCCCAGCGGTGAGATATTCATTTAAACAAAGTCAGTTTGTCTGTCGTTAGCATAAACAATGTTAGAAGGATAACTAGAAATACAGTTAACTCTAAAACGGTTTGTGCTACAAACCAGTGTGCTTTACTTACCAGAATAAATGAACGTGATGAGAAATACCAGTTTGTAATATCAAGCGGTTTAACTGACTGTTTTTGAACAGCTAAACAACTTGAAGCGAATGCAGAAACCGCGCGCTTTCAAATTACAAAATGGCCGCGGCGCACGTTAAAACTAAAAAGGCGGTAAAATTACTACACACAACAAAGGAACACCAAGCAAGCATGGTCGGTTTTCTAGGGACGTTCAATGTAAATTAATAAATAATTGTCAGAAGTAATTTCATAACCAGACATTTTACACGTATGTCTATACATCACATCCAGTTAAGCATAAAAGTTAAAATATTTCAATGAAATTTTAACAAACAAATGTTTGTAACTCCATGAAGATCCAGTAATGCAACAGCAATCAATGCACAACAATCATTAACAGCGTTTAAAAAAGGAAAAATGAAAACTTGAAATATGCAAAGACTACACAATGCGGTTTTAATTTACTTTAATTTGAACATATTAAATAAAGAAACGCATCTGCATGTTGGTTTTCACTGTGGTTTCCAAAATGCTGAAATTTCATCAGTATTAGGCGGCTGAAATATTGGTATCGTAAAAACGCAAAAAAAATTAATGTTCGTCTTTAATCTGACAACAGTCATAGGTTTTTAAATAAAACAAAAAACATGCATAAACTCCACCGGTAAGACTTTAATTAAATAAAAACCATATTTACAACTAACTCATTCACAGCTACAGCTCAAAACACACACACACACGGTTCTCTTCATCTGATGCTCATATAAATGCACAGAGAGTGATTGACAGCTCATTCGGCCAATCAGCACGCAGCACGCTGTCAGTAGGCAGGAGTCGATCCTTCTGGTTCTTCTTCACGTTCCTCAGCTCTCGGTGGAGTCCAGCATGTTCCCCGCGTCCTTCAGCATGACCTGTCCGCTGTTAGCCTGATCGCCATCTCCTTCGCGAGCCCTACGAGTCTGAGACACACAGAGCCGAGAAAACACGGGGCTGCAAACAACCGTCAACCAGTTAGACACGAGTTTAATCAAGTTAGGATGATCTCACCCAACCAGAGCTGACCCAGTGCATGTGTGTCTATGAGCGAAGCCGGACACAGGAGCTGCTTACAGGGACAGATCTGAGTCAATCAGACTGCTTTAGGACGGGGGAACGACCATTTAGTCCCAAACGAAGACGTTTCCCCATCCTAAACGCACAGACAGCAGACGGACCGAAGCGGCTTCATCAAGCACGTTTATTCGTCAACAACAAAAAGCTGCGAAATCATTTCTGTACAACATCACGAGACATTATCAGTGTTGAATGATCAGTAGATGGAGTGAGAGACGACACACGGACACTTTGAGCACCTGATTATTATTAGCATATCTATAAACCACAATCACAAACCACCAATCAGAACAAAATCTGTGCGCGCGCATCTCATTGGCCACAGGAGGTGATTACAAACAGAGGATAAAAATCAAACCAGAATCAACCTCATCATCTGAAACTCACAAACACATGCGTCCAGCTCGTAGATATTTTACACAGCGAAGCAAAATAAGTTCTTAAATATGACTCTGAAATTGTGAGATGACGAACTTAAGATGCGAGTCTTCAGTACAGATTACAGCAATAAAAAAAATCTTAAAACACAACAGATAAAAGCTTTAAAAAAATACCCTCTTTAAAAACCAGGGACATTTTAAATGTAGTTAATGTAGTTAATCACGGGAAAGGAGCAGCATGCTGGTTAGTTAGTGCCGCAGTTACACGAGAGCACCACTAGAGGATCAAAACCAGCTGTGTGTGTGTGTGTGTGTATGTGTGCGAGAGAGAGCGCGGATGTGATGCTTTATGCACGCCACTCTTGACAAACCCGCAAATATTTACATGATCAGTGCACACACACACACACACAGTGAGCGCTGCACATCTGTTAGCCAGAAACGCGACCGCAGCATTACAAAGACATTAGAGGAGCATGCACAAACATGCGCGTCATTCACACACACAGGAACTGGTCGTTTAAAGAGAACAAAACATCATGAAAGACCCTCAGTGACACCATCAGCTGTGCATGCGGCGCAGATAAAACCTCACGAGAAACGGTTAGTGAGCGTTAGTGTGCCGACGGACGCAAATCAGGGTAAACGGAATGATTATGGAGTCTGATTGAGGATTTAAATGCAAGCGAATCTACATACAACCCACGACTCCTGCAGCACACGCCGTCTCCGCTGCGCAACAGACAAGAGAACAGCAATTAGACACACACACACATCAACAAACACACAAACAAGTACCTGCTTTAACTTGAGCACTGGTTGCATGTCACTAACCAGCTGGGACGGACACGACAGTATTAAGACTGCATTAGAATGTGCAACTGGCGTTTCTAATTACGCAGGCATGCGAGTTTTGGTTAGTTAGACGCAGAACTAAATTATAATGCTATGTCTGCGCTGCCAAGCAAAGTAAGAAACCGAGTGCACTTCTAGCCATGCAGACAATTAGCTTTTCTGTTTGCACTAGAGGCTATGGAAGCTTGTTTCCACCACGGAATAAAAAACTAAAAATGGTAATTGTGACTTTTTAATTCGCAATTCTGATACAATTCCGAATTCTCCGTTCACATATAAAAATGTTGCAATTCTTTCTCAGAATTCTGAATTTACATCTTACAAGTCTGACTTTTTCTCTGAATTCTGAGTTTACATCTCGCAATTCTGATTTTTCTTTCTGAATTTGAGTCCATTCTGAGTTTTTCCTCAGAATTCTGAGTTTACATCTCACAATCCCGACTTTTTCCCTAGAACCACGTTTACATCTCACAATTCCCGACTTTTCCCCCTAGAATTCTAAGTTTACATCTCACAATTCCTGACTTTTTCCTCAGACTTCCACGTTTACATCTCACAATTCCCGACTTTTTCCCCTAGAATTCTAAGTTTACATCTCACAATTCCTGACTTTTTCCTCAGACTTCCACGTTTACATCTCACAATTCCCGACTTTTTCCCCTAGAATTCTAAGTTTACATCTCACAATTCCTGACTTTTTCCTCAGACTTCCACGTTTACATCTCACAATTCCCGACTTTTTCCCCTAGAATTCTAAGTTTACATCTCACAATTCCTGACTTTTTCCCTAGAATTCCACGTTTACGTCTCACAATTGAGTCAGAATTGTAAGAAAAAAAAGTGTCAATCACCTTTTCTGGCAGACACAAGCTTCCATAAAAGGTAGTGTTAGTGTTTGAGTTTGTACAAATGGCGAAGCAACAGCTTGTTGAACACTAAAATGCCCCTTTACTACAAAAGTATACAGACAAACACTTGTTTAACAGCTAGACTATGAGATTTGTTGCACATCCGCTAGCATGACGTGAGCGTCAGCGCTGAGTTCTGCTAAAGCGGGCGCTTGAGCGGCGGTTTGACGCTGTTGTCGTGCTGGGTCCCATCGCTCTCTGAGAGTACCTCTTGCTCGAGGGTGTTGAAGCGCACACCCGAGTGCTCGCCCTTCTGCTGCGACCCCAAACACGGGAAGCACAGGATGCGCTTGAAGGTGTCGCGCATGTCCTTGTCGCGGTAGGAGTAGATGATGGGGTTCATGAAGGAGTTGCACTCGGCCAGCACCAGGAAGAACTTCTCGTAGGTCAGGACGTCGCAGGACTCACACGAACCGTCCAGGAGAAGCAGCACCAGCCCCGGCGTCCAACACACCACGAAACAACCTGCGGGACATCGGCAGAAACACACAGCCAAGAGGTGAACGCGTGGAACATCTGCACACGAATATAAATGTCTGGGAATCGAGAACAAACAAAAAACAAGACTGCGATCAAATTAACTACAATTACAACTGTAATCATAATAAATATGATAACTCTAGTGATGACTACAACAATAAATGTAGTGACAACTGTAAAAATAATAAAATAACGATAACGGTAACTGTAACCAGTGGTATAATACCAATACAAATACTATTGCAATAACTATGATAACTTACAACTATAACAAGAACAATTACGGCAATAACTATAATAACTTATGATCACTTTAACAACATCTTAAACTAAAAATAATAACTAACTATAAAAATAACTGTAGTGATAACTATAACGAGAACTGTAATAACTATTACAAGAACCACAGCAATAACTATAACAATAATTATAAAAATACAATAACTTTTACAAGAACTATAACAACACCGTTTACCGTTTACTGTAACTACAGTGTTTCCCCTGCCATTATATTAGGGGGGCGACCCTTAATTATATTTTCTCTATAGCGCTAGATCACAACAGAAGTAATTTAAAGTTACCTTTCCTATAGAACAGGTCTATACCTTGTTCTTTTATTAAGCAAACTAAATAGCCTTGTTATTTATCTTATTTACACGACAGCATGACATTTCGGTCTCTATGTTACATGGTCGCGCTCTCTGCATCACGCACAGCGGAGTTCTGCCCCGAAGCGCGCGCGCGCACACACACACACACAAGTGAGCCCACTCCCACTAGTATTTGTAAATATTAAGCCGCAAAACGACTATTTAAATATGAATTCTGTGTGTCTCTGTGTTAATGAATGGCGCAGACGCGCGGTTTTGTTTACTACTCGT